TTTGGAGAGGTCCCTAACAGCAGACTTTCCCATGGCAATGCGCCTTTTAATTTCCTGGCTGCTGGTGCCAAGACTGTTGACTACAGAGCCAAGCCAATTATATATTAACTTACATATTAACAGCAAGAAAACAAAATCCTCACCAGTAGACCAAAAAGCAACATCATGATAGAGAAAAGATTGAAGTTGTAAAGGCTATTATTCCGCTGGGATTTACAGTCAGTACCCATGGTTTGTTGTTGTTATGTGCTGTTGAGGTAACTATGACTCATAGCAACCCTATGAAAAATAGCTGTGAACCTTACCCTATCCTGAGCCAGTCTCACCATCTCTGACATGCCTGCCTCTCTTGCTATAATCCTCTGTCAATCCGTATCATCCAGATCTTCCTCTCTTGCATTGACCTCTACCCTTCCAAGTATGAGTCCTTCTCCAAGGACTGGTCCCTCCTGGCAACATGCCCAAAGTATATGAGATGGAGTTTCATCCTCTGTAGGACAGGCCTGTTTGTTCTCTTAGTAGTCCATAACACTTTCAGTTCTCTTCCTCAGCACCACAACTCAAAGGCATTGATTCTTCTGTCATCCTTTGTCATTATCCAGTTTTCAGATGCATAATAGCAAGCAATTGAGAAAACCATGGCCTGGATCTGTCAAAGTTTCTAAAGAGGAGAAATATCAGTTTAAAGACTAAGGTGCTTCTAATCCAAGTTATGATGTTTTGAATTCCTATGCATCTGAAAGTTGAAAAATGAATAAAAAAGACTGAAGAAGAATAGATGCCTCTGAATTGGGGTGTTGGAGAAGAGTGTTGAATATCCCTAGGACTGCCAAAAGAACAAACAAATCTGTTGAAGGAGGTGAAACCAGAGTGCTCCTCAGAAGCAAGGATGGAGGAACTTACTCACTCAGGGAATATTTTCAGGAGGAGAAGTAGTCCTTGGTGAGTAACATCCTTCTGGGAAAGGTAGAGAATCAGTGAAATAGAGGGAGACCCTCACCAAGATGATTGACACAGTGACTTCCACAGTAGGCTGAGCAGGACAGAGCTCTGCATGGGGACGGTGCGGGATAGGACCAGGGTCAGGTCTGTTGTTCATAGTGCTGTTCTGAAATGTAGTCGACTCAGTGGCTCCCAACCACAACATTACAACTTCAAGGTACTCTGATGTTCAGACTTCACATATTTGCATGTAAAAATCTATTTTATTTATATTGTCTTGTAGAATTTTATTTTTATCTTAAAAGTAGAAAATGCAAATCATAAAAATTTAAATGTAGCAAAAAGTTTTAAATCCTAAATCCTCCCAGCCCCTTACCCCAGAGTATTGCTGTAAAGTTCCTTACTCTGTTTGTCATAGTTTGTGTGTATCTGTGTGTGTAGGAGGAGATCTGGTGGTCTAGTGGGTCAGGGATTATGCTGCAAACCCAAAGGCAATTTCAGTTACATCAGTTGCTCTGAGGACAAAACAGACAATCTCCTTCTGTGGAATTTAAAACCTCTAAAAACCTGCCGGAGGATCAGCTATGAGTCTCTCTTTTTTTTCTTAATTGAAATTTTATTGTAAGTTTATAAAGAACTTAGATTTCCATTCATTCATTGTTGCACATTTTCCTACCTGCCCCCCTCCCACCCAGTTAGGTTTTTTTAGAAAAAAAGTTTTTTCATTGTGCTATGCGTCTCTTTGTAATTTATACACACATTAGACACACATCATATTGAAATAAATACACATGGGCTCGTATTATAACATTAGGTAGCCTTTAAAATATAACAGTGAATCTTGGACATCTTTCTAGAGAGAACATACTAATTTTATTTTTTAAAAGATCACAATATTCCATTAAATGAATGATTTCACAATTCTATTGTAACCTTATTCCAGACTTTATATAGATACATATCTCCATTGAACCTCCTAGTATATATGTTGTCTGATACAGCGCAGATCCACACGCTAATTCTTAAGAGTGGGTTTCCCATGTGCATGCCGCACCTTGGGTTCCTGTTTGCTGAGACAGCTCTGCTTCACACCTGTCACCCCAGCTTTGCAGCGTTTTTTATATTCTTGTTTACTCCCAAAAGTGACTCTGTGTGGAGGATGAGTTAACATTTAAATCACTGCCATGTTGCCTAACAAGATAGTTCCCACATATTCTCATCTTACTGTAGATTACACAACTTTACAGACTTTTTCCAAATTTATTTTTAAATTTTTCTTTTATTGTGAATGATTATGACCCTTTAGCTTTTAAGCCAGGTGACATAGGAAAATGCATGTCTTTACGAACCTGCTAAAAATGTTAAGCTAAATAGAAAGAAGTCACATCATTAGCTAAAAATGTCACCATTACGGTAAATGATAAGAATAAAATGGAATAATATTAATGTGAAAATGGAATCCCACTAAGGAAATTTACATTATTTCATATCAATTTGACTTTAAGGTGGTCCAGTGTTGAAAACTCCAAAGATGTTCTCATAGTGAGGTCATAATATATACTCTCAAATAGTGTGCATCAGAGTATGGCTGTCCTTTGACTCTTTTTTTTTGTCTTAATGTAAGAGATTGCATTCATTATATAAATGAACCGATTTTAATTTTAACATTCACAAGCTCCATGCCTGTGTACTGTTATTAACTCTTTCTTATGCCTCTAAGACTAGCATCAAAATGTTTGGCTAACGTACTTGAACAGTCAGAAGACAACAGACGCTGGAATTTCTTTGTTGGGCCTCACTCTGCCATCTCTTGTTTTCATGTGTTTGCAGATGAAGGCGGTGGCGGCTCCTGTATTTTGCTGATCTTACTGTGCATAGTGACTGTTTTCCTCAGCATTGGAGGAACGGCCTTGTACTGCACTTTCGGTGACATGGAGTCACCCGTTTGCACAGACTTCGCAGATAACATGGACTTCTATTACACCAAGTTTCTGCAGGGAATGGCAGGAATTAAGCACTGGATCTACCTCTCCTAGCAGCATGCATGAAGAACAGGCGTGCTGGCAGTGAGCATCGAAGATAGGAACCTTTGAAAGCCGCTTTTATTTCAAGAGTTCTGTAGCCTGCCCTCTTCTTCCTCCCTCCCATGGACATCAGAAAGTACAGCTTTCAGTGGCAACCCAGATGAGCCAAGCAGTGGTCATCACGTAGAGGCTGATGGCCATCTGAGAGCTGAAGACAGAAAGGAGGTCTTTGACAAGCACATCCACCTCCTCCTCGTGGCTTCCAGAGAGTGGGGTGCTCTCAGCTTCCAGACAGAGCCAAGGCCACATCATTTTCAGCAGCCTTGTCAAGCTAATGGTTAAAGAACACTGGTTTACATTTGTTGGTCCAAAGATACTGCTTCCACCCATCACGCAATAAGCCTACATGTAGTCAAAAGGAGATATCCTGGATTAATTGTCTTTTTTAGTTAACCTTATGATGTAGGCTTCGTGAGTCACTGCTCAGTTCACTTCCCCATTTGTCAAATGATTGTGTGTGTGTGTGTGTGTGTGTGTGTGTGTTTTCAGCACTTATTCTAAACAAATACCACATAAGAATAACAAAGACCATTCTTTTGCTACAGATGTGCAGGCACAATTCTTCAAAGAAGGATTATCTGTTACAAGTTGTATCTGATAAGCCTTTGGCCCTAAAATGAGAAATTATGAAATATTATGTGGCAACTTATCTTTTGCCTCACCAGAAATCAGTCACAAGTCTAGAGAAGGTGTTGAAGAGTTTGTCCCGGGTCTCAGGCAGAGTAATTCCTAAAATCTGATGGATGGAGGACTTCATTCATCAGATATTGGCTGAGCACCTGTCATGTTGTAAACACCAAGATGCAAAGATATGTTCATGCTCCACATTTTCCAATTCTGGTGTCATGTGAACTAAATGAGCACTTTGTCAAATGAAATGAAATCACCATGTAATTAATTCGTAACAGATCATGCCTTTTGGTGTCACAATGTGCATCCTGCCATGGGTTTGATGAGACCCAAGATCATGAGGCGGAAATCCAATCACCTTATATAGGCACATGTCTTATTTTTATTCAGAACTGTTAGCTAGGTACAGCGGTCTAACATTTACAATGCTTTACTTTGGCTTTTTAGATCATAGGCAGCATTTTAAACCAGTAAGCACATAAATTACGGTTTTTTCAGCAAGTGATTTTTATTTAACGTTTTTCTGTTAGGATCATTTGGAAGAAAAAGGGAGAAGTTCTTTTCTAGTTGTTCCTGGCTGGTACAGTCCCCTCCCTTTGTGTTCCTGCTTATTTATTTAGATGACATGAATTTCAAAGGACTTTTTTTAATATTCATTGGAAGTGTGTTGCTGTGTGTGCATTTGATCATCATGAGGTTATATATTTAATTATCATGTACTTAATAGTTTGATTCTATTTTGAGTTTAGTGTGTTTTTAGGCTTGTTTATTTTTAAATTGATGTTTTATTTTCACTTGTAATACTGTTTGACTTGTTTGCATCATGTCATCATAAACTGTAATATTTTAAAAAGGTTATAGATCAAAGATATTTATTTAGAAGCGTGTAAGATATTGAAATCCAGATTCCTTATACTTAAGGCTGACTTTATTAGAAGATTATTTTAATGTTCTATTGTAAATTTTAAGACTTTTTATTCCAACTGTATGTAAATATGTAAAATGTTGCCGGTACTCACAGTGTGGTTCTATAAAATTCATTCACACATCTGCTGTGGGGCACAGCCCCACCAGAGCCGAAGCTCTTCAGTTTTACCTTCACTGATTTGTTGATGCTGATTTCTGCTCGTTTTAAGTCAAGATAAGGTAAAATTTCCCTCCTGCCAGCTTCTTTTAGGTCGCTGTTGGAGTGTGTGTAATAGGAGTGTGTGTAATAGGATCTGAGACAGTGCATTTGCCTGGGGGCCACCGGGCCACTTCTGAAGCCGAAGCTCCGTGGGCCTTGTGAGCTAAGAGCCCTGGAAGAAAGGGGATCTACTGAACATCAGAGAAGCCACGTGCTCACCCCTTCCCAGGGGAGAGAGAAGTGACCTCTGGAACATATTAATATCTTGACTTAAAATGGGCAGCAAATCTCTACTAGGAAAATTAGGGCAAATTTTTAAAAGGCAATAGTCATTTACTGCATGAATTGGAGTACTTCCACCTGGTGATGAAAAGGTTGTTCTCTCAAACATAAAGAGAGTATCTGATTTTACCAAAATGCTGTTTTCCCTTCATTTCAGTTCTGACAACTGTTTTCAACAATCTTGTCTTCCTTAAGAACCGTATCTTAGGTTATCAGATCTAGCTTGTAATTTAAATCTACACTAACAAAATGTCTCCATTAATTTGAGTCCTTGGGTGTTGAGAAAAACCGTGTAGTGAAAATAAAGGAACTTCTGCTGTTGGCCTGGCCCCACAGGTGTGGCCCTCTGCTTTGGGAAGTCTGTCAGGACCCAGGGACCTCTGGGAACCTAGTCTGTAGCAACTTGTGCTGCAAACCCAATGGCCTAGCGTCTCCAGAGATTTGAATGCACCAGTCTCCTCCCTTTGAAATGTGGAGCCTCAAAAATCCAAGGAAGCTTGCAATACAAGTTGGAACTGACTCAACAACAATGAGTTCGAGTTCTGGGTTTCAGTAAGGCCCTGAATGGTGTAAACTCTTGACAGACTTCACTCCTAACTGGAAGGTTGTCTGTTTAAGTCTACCCACAGGTGCCCTGGAAGAATAATTGTTGTTATGTGCCGTTGAATCATTCGTAACTCATAGTGACCCTATGTACAATAGCCCTAAACCCTGCTCTATCCTGTGCCAATCTTATTGTCTCCAACACACCTACCCCCATTATGGCAGTCACTGAATCAGTCCATCTCATCAAGGGCCACCTTCTCCTGCGTTCTCCCTCCACCCTCCCAAGCATGACATCCCTCTCCAAAGACTGATCCTGCCTTGCAACATGGGAAGAATAATTTCAGCTTTAATCTGACACACGCAGGTCCACCACAAGTCATAACCACCTTGGCAACAACTGGCCAGGACGTCTCAGAGGTTCCTCTGCTCCTTGGACGCTTGCTGGCACAGTACCTAAAAATCCCCCTGAAAATCCATTCCCTGAGTTGGAGATCAACATCCTCCAGGACATTCACCTTGTAATGGAGGCTGTGAGGAGGGTTTGGGACTTGAAGATAGGACAGATGTGAAAGGACAGATGTGTCTGAGCCTTGCTGGAACTGCAGGAGGTCACTGGAGACAGCAGGGACAGAGAAGGGGGCTGAGCAGTAAACGAGAAGGTGGACAGGGAACTCTTCAGCTGTCTTCCTCTTTTGCTGAAACTGACCTGCTAACAGTCACTTGCAGTCTGGGGAGAACAGTCATTCTACTGACCTCAATAACTTTATTTCTGTGTGCTTACTGTTAACTCACACATACGTCCTGATTGATGCAATGTATGTACAGTTCCTACACTTAACTCATTTGATGCTTACATCAGTAATCACATCCTTTTCAATGAGAAAACCCACTCCCAAGTCCTTTTTTCATTTATCTTGCTGCTTCCAACTTCAAGAAGAATTAAGAGTGCCAAGGAAGTTCTGGTGGCCTAGTGGCAAGAAGCTGCACTGCAATCCCAGAGGTGCACAGTTCAAATCCCCCAGCTCCTCTGCTGGAGAAGAGGGGCAATCTCCTCCTGTACCAATCAGATCTGATTTGACAGTACACACACACAAAAATAATAAAATTTTTAAAATTTTTTTTAAAAAATAAGAGTGCCTTCTACTATTGTAAAAACCTCAAAGAGAAAAACATTGAGTTTCGTGTATTGTAACCCTGTAAAAACTACAGTGAAATGGTGGGGGGGAAAAAAAAGCCCAAACACATAACCTTCCTTAGGGAATTTTGTTGTTTTTAGTGGATTTGCCATCAAATCCACTACAACTCCTAGCAACCCTATGAACAACAGATCGGAGCCCTGCCCTGTCTTGTGCCTTCCTCATCATTTCTGAATACTCCCGTCTGTTGTTATAACCACTGTGTCAGTCTATCCTGTGATGTTAGTAACACTGAAATCTTCCAGAGTCTGGCCTCCTGAGAAAAACAGTGGCAACCTATGAGTGTTCCTTCTTTTTGTTAAGAAGAGTCATTTCCAGACTCAACTTTTTGCCTATACTCTTAAAACTGGTGTACAGCTCTGAGAAGCCACGTGTGTTGCTCTGTAGCCACAGCTGTCAAGGTTCCACAAATGTCCAAATGCCTATGACATGTCTGCCACAGAGCTGGGGGCTGGGGCTCCAGAAAGAAATGGTACCAGCTTTGAAACGTTAATACCAAGTGAAGTAACTACGTTTGCAAAAGTGGAATAGAAACAGAGATTGGGGATTTGCTACATGTGAGGGTGGAAACGTCATTCTTTCCTCCCACATGTCAGGCCTGTGGCAATAGAAGTAGAGTTCTGTCTAGGTCACCTGCACTGCAGCTTCAGAAACAGAGCCTTTTCTGTCTTTTTTTTTTTTTTAAACATTTTTAATTTTAGAGAACTCCTATGTCCAGCTTTTTTGAGGAAATGCCATACTGCCTTCCAGAGTGATTGTACCATTTTACAACCCCACCAATAATGTATAAAAGAGTTCCTATCTCACCAACATCCTCTCCAATATTTATTACTTTATGCCCTGCCAAACTTTGCCACTACTACTGGAGTGAGATGGTATTTCATTGTGGTTTTGATTTGCATCTCTTACTGCCAATGATTTGGAGCATTTTTTCATGTGTCTGTAGGCCATCAGAATAGCCTTCTTGTGAAAGTCTTTCCATGTCTTTTGCCCATTTTTAAATTGGATTATCAGTCTTTTTCTTGTGGAGGCCCAGGAGGATTCTGTAAACTTTTGTTATAGGACCCATGTTTGAGATGGTATTGCCAAATGTTTGTTTCCAGTCAGTATAGGTTTTCTGTTGCAAAAAGTTCTTGATGAGCACAGAGATTTAATCTTTAGAAGGTCCCATT